TGGGGGGTGGCAGGGCCTGGCTGGCAGGGGGTCGGGCTGAGGGGGCCCCACGGGCAGGGGCCGAGCCCATCGGGGCTCGGTGGGCTGCTGTTTGGGGACACCAGGGCCCTGTGAGCAGAGGCTGGGACTGGGGGAATCCAGCGGGCAGGGGGTTGGGACCGCAGGGCCTGGTGGAGGGGCCGGGGGGGATGACAAACCCAGCTCAGCACAAGGCCTCTGCCCCACACGCAAGTGCTGAACAGGAAATCTGAAAACGTCACGCTTCAAACCTATTTGGCTTAACTGTTGTTTCACTTAAAGGGAGACTCAGTTGGGCCCCTCTTTGATGGCCAGCAAAGCCCCAGTCCCCCTGCCCCAGTCCCCTGCAGCCCCTCTGGCTGTCCCAGCCCTGGGAGGGGGATCCTGCACCGATCCAATCCTGCCCCAGCCAAGACCTCCTCCATGCCCACTGTGCTCATGGAGATGCAGAGCAAGGCCCCGACCAAGGATGGAGGTAGGGGCAGCCTTAGACATGCTCCTCTGCAGGCCGAACTGAGCAAGGGGCTGCGTTCAGGACACAGGCTCCCCCTCCCCTGCATCGCCCCGACCCCTCCAGCCACGCGGCCTCCCCGCGTCAGGCTCCAGCTGCACCGGCCCGCACCAGGAGCGGCAGCCCCAGCTGGGCAGTCTCCAACCTGGTGGCTGCAGGTGTATCTGGCTGGGAGGGTACAGGGTAGAGCCACTGCTCAGCGTCTCCTACCCCTTCCTGGAGGAGCAAAGGGAGCTGGGAGCCAGCCTGTCCCCCATGCAGTACAAGGAGCAGCTGTGCCTGTCCAGACCCATCTCCTTGCAAAGACAGAATGAGAAGAGGAAGAACGATGAGTCAAACTAAGAGGCATCGAGGAGCACAGGCTGGGACCAACACGCTACCTTCATCAGAAACAGGGCTGAGACCAGTCAGTGTCTCCTTTCGAACTGGATAAAGTGGGGAACAGGGAAAAGAAAACAAAACCCAAAACAACAGCTTTCAAACAATTGCTTTTTACAGTATGTACAGAGCCCAGCGGGCAGAGCATCCCGGTACAGCAGCCCCTCGGGGCCGGGTGCGACACACAAACAACAGAGACCGCTGCGGACCGACGGTAACCCCGCGCTCCCCCAGCCTGGGAGGGACAGCACCGCTTGCCCAGCCGGGGACCGGCAGGGGGGGCCCGGGGGGGCCCGGCGC